ACAAAAATAACCCAACGGGGCAGGAGGCAGAAGATGGCTCGCTGAAGAAAGGTGCTCTTTGACGAGGCTTTTGGGAAGCCCCCTCCAAACTTTCAAGAGGAGCAGCTTTTTAAAGCCCGCGAGCAACAGATGCTGGAGAGCGTTTTGCGGCGGTTAGGGAAATCATAAGGAGAACCTACCCAAAACCTGAACTTCTGCTTACAGTTTAGTCCCAAAAATCAATGCTTTAAGCGATGTACTGAAGGTAGAAAGAGCGCAATCCCATAAAGTGGTGAAAGAAAAAAAAAACCCCAAAACAAACAACAAACAAACCCACCCCAAAAACCTTTCAATTTACTTCCCCTTGCCAAAGGAAAAGTTTAAAATGCAGGCGGACGCGCAACCGTAACACGCTCCGAGCAGCGCTTGTAAACCACGCGTTTGCAGGAGCCGGGGTCCCCGTAGTAAGAACTAAAACACTCGTGCAAGTTCCTTAAAAACCAGGGTTAAGCGTCAGCCTCCTGAGGCCCTTTGCTTCCAAATGGGCTCAAACTGACGGCTACGCTTCACTGGTCAGCAAATTTTCCTATTTAAAAATCATAAACCAGCAAGAATAACAGCTGAAACTTAAAATAACGTGGCTACGTCCCGACCATTCGCATTGAGCGAGCAGGAGCAATACATGTACCTCAAAACCCTGTTAAAATAATGATGGCAGCTATCACCAGTTTCCGTATTTCCCGCACTATATGCATTCATACTGTGCCAGACTGGTGAGCTCTGTCAGAGTATGTCGTCATTGTCTCCATAGTAACTGTATTTCCAAAAAGAAAACAGTGAAGGGAAATAAAAAACAAGAGCGTAATGTGGAAAAACAGATAGACATTTGTGCTATGGATTTTTGCCTTTTTTTTTTTTTTTTAAACACTCAACTGGATCTTTATCACCGATAACACAGCTCCCCCACAACCGTGACACTAACATCACTGCTGTATCCTACCTGTCACATTTTATGTTCAGAAAGCTAACGCTATGAGGCATACCATTAAAATGGAAAAATTGCATGGGCTGAGTAAAAGAGATGTACAATTTATATTCAGCTCATATCATTCTGTCTGCTGAATGAGGCAGAGAGCTCAGTATTATTTTCCCTACTCTTCTTTTAATTCTCTCTCTCGACATTTACTCTACTACCAGACAGAGGAGTCTGTTTAAATTCTCTTAGAAAAACCAGTATTTACAAATCACAGGCAGCAGAAACAAGTGCTTTTGCAGCTTTGAGATTGGCTGCTAGTTCTGTTTCCATAGAAATGAACATTCATTTGCTGAAAAATGGGGAGGTGCTTTAAAGAACCTTCTCCAGTTTGCAGGGATACATATATTTCTGGTGGCGTGAAAAGGGTGAAACAAGCAGCACAAGTAAGATTTCACTTAGCAGGTAAACACCCTGACATGGTTCTCTTAATATGCAACATCATTATGAATGTAAACAAACCCCAAGGTTTTCATAGCAGCTAATTCATTCATGTAATTCACATTAAAGAAATTATGTCTGGTATTACTACCCACTGAGGAGGGCAAGGGAAGATGGGGGAAGGGGTGAAAAATAATCTTTAAAAAAAAAATAAAAAAAATTTAAAGGTCAACTGGAGGGGCAAGTTCACAGTGTGATATTATTTAAGCCTGTAAATTGCCCTCATCAGGCAAAAGCATGAAGACTCTTGCCCAGTCCCCTTGTTAGACACAGCGCCTTCTCATCTGTTTGGCTTTTGAAACTCCTTGCTACATATCCTGCCCCAGTTATTTCACCCAAACTTGTTTCAGTGTGCTTTTCACCTCGGCCACCCTCTGAGAGCATCTGTCAGTCTCTAACAGTACTCGTTGCCCTCCTCCTCTTTACAGTTTCATCAAGGATCAGATGCCATAAAGGAAGATGGCAACACAAGACTAAAGGGACTGTTCACGCTAGGTCCACTCTAACACAGTCATGGGAATAAGATGATATTAAATCTCCCACTGGGCGTAAGACTGCAGGTACGATATCTTTTCCCTTCCTCCTTATATTCCTCCCACATACCTAAGCATACCAATACAATGTTTTTAAAACCTGTCGTGTTTAATCATGTTAGTACAAACGCTTTTAAAAAAACCCATATATTTGTTTTGATTATTAAAATACTATGGAAAACATTTTTGTATTCAGATTATTTAAAGCTACAAGTTTTGAGGGTTTTTTATTTTTTCTTTCATTTTTTTCCCCCCCTCCTAAGTACATGCTGAATAAAGAGACTGAACAACTGACATTAGTATTATTTGATAAAAGAATCCTAAGTCACCTCTCTGGATTCTCAGAAACTAGGTCAACACAACAAAGATTTACCACCACCGCAGTGTCACTCGGGACCATGAAGAAGCTGACATCTTCCACAGTTGTACTAGCAAGCCCTTCCCTATCCCTCAACACGCTGAAGAGAACCCTCATCAGTACAGTTAAGTTATTTGGGAAAGCAACTCAGTCTGGCAAAAAGCCATTCCTTTTGCTGGTGGAAAAGTCCACTACAGAGCTGCGCCAGCCTAATTATATTAAAGCCTGTTGAACGGTTTTTTGCGCCCCCCACCTTGGAAACATAACCCTATTCCCTCCCTCCCTTCCCAAACCCTACTGCAAAATATCCAAAGCACTAAAAAAAACCCCAATCCTCAGCACTGTAACAGATGTATTTAGACATTAAAATTTGGCCTTTATCCAAAGATGTTTGATAAAGCTCCTAAAAGAAAAGTTGGTAACAAGGCTACAGGAATTCAACAGCAACTTTCAATCTACACGTGCAAGCAGTAAACACAAATTGTCCTTCAGAGAATAATGAAGGACAATGCCAAGATAAAGCACTAACAATGGAAGAGTGTATTTTCAACAACATTAAAAAGTTGTCTAGATGGATGCAACAGATTAAGTAGGTTTAAGCGAAAACAGCAAACCCAACATATTAGAGGGATTCTGTCTTGTATGGTACCGAAACAGAATTATAGTAACTTTTGTACAGAAATTGCCACCTACAAGACAAAATAAATGGTTTATACTGCTGTAGATCAGCATTAATATCTGCGTTTTACAGCTGAGATAAAAAAGGCTTAAAGAAAAATAAACTTAATCAACTCTCTTAAAATAAGAGACAAAACGTTCAGAAGTGCTATGTAAACCAGTCCAGCAATGTTGTATGTATATTTTCATATATATTTAAATTATTTCAATGCATTTATATTCCCTCATGCAACATTCTCCATTCTCCTAAGAATTACCAACAGAAAAAAAAAAACCACCACCAACATGTAAAATGCATCTTTGGACGTCTCAAACCTATGCATCAGCATTAACTTTAAATGCAAAAGACAATGGTGTACCCTTCCACAATGAGTAAATTTACAATCTTACGTGGCATTTATGTGAAACATTTTGCCCAAAAATTAGTATGTTTTCTTTTCAGTTTTTTAATATTAAACCTTACAAATCTATTTTTGTATTCTTTAAGTGTTAAAGAATAGCAGTGTTTTATTTCAAAGGAGAATGCAGCACAGAAACTCTTACTACCTCAAAGCAAAGGTTGTAAAAACACATTCCTCTGAACCTACAGTCTCTTCTGTTTTCACACTAACGAGAAAAGGGTGAGAATATTTAAAACTGAAAGGTATATTTGAGTACATTAACGAATCATATGCGTCCCTCAAAATATTTCTACTCTTGCACAGTTATACTTTTTAGGTGCAGTAGAGCCTCCTTTTCAGTCAGCACAGTTGCTCTGAAAGGAAAATGAACATCAGAGAACCCTCCCTTCTAAAACAAGATCTACTGACTCCTTGCAGAAGACAATGAAGCTTTCAAAACCAACTATATTAAAGCCACTGCTACAACACCTCCCCTTGTGCTGTTACGTAACAGTCTTTTCTTCGGTAAGAAAGAATTATGGTTTTACTCTTTTGTACTATAAAATACTGTATCAAGAATGCAGTAGGAAGCAACGAGGATTCTCTGCGTAACAGGTTTTCTTTTCATTAAATACTCCAAAACTAAAGAGCTCAAACTCAGTACAATAAAGTCTGAACTTCAACATTTAAGTGTCTTTGAATGCTGTGATCGCCTATTTTTGTAATTTAAAACTCCATTTATTAAAATCATTATTCATCATTTTAACTGAGAAGAAATCAAACACATTCATCACTAAATTACCATTTTCTTTTAGAAACATACTGTAAGACAGGATAAAGGTCCATTTGATTATTTTTTTCCCATGCATGAATACTTTGCAGGATTCTTGTATCCCCTCCTGAGCACACATGTAACTTGTTAAAGTTTCACTGCTTGTTTCCATGCAGTTTCAACACCTTTCCAACTGTATTCTGACTGCAGTCCAGAAAATACTTTCAGTAACACAGTATAAGTTTGTTTTACTAAGTGTCTCATTTTCTTAGTATTACATGTTTCTAGTCGTCCATCTCACATTGATAATGCTAGCATTTAAACATTTATCTTGAATTAATCTAAAGCTGGTTGTAAATATATGATCTTTCATACTCACCACTGACGTTACTTAAAATCATATTTCCAGAGTTTCTTACTTCATCAAATTTTGCAAAGATTGTTTGCAACCTGTAAAGAACAACAACAAAAATATTTTTACACCTCTGAAACCCTCCAGGTTACTGGTAAACACAGAAATCAGTTTATTATCATATGTTAAGCAGTAATACAGAACATACAAGGGATTTAGAGTATCTAGAAACATTTCCCAAATGACTGCTCTGCAGTTAGTTGAGCAACTTCACACAAATGCACAGAAAACGAAATTAACTTCAAAGAACAAAGCTGAGCATCGTTAGTAGCATGATTAAAAATAACTAAAATTCTAAAGTTCAGGTTCAGTAATAGTATATATCGGGTTCAGATGACTGTGGTATTACCCTATTTATACACAACACTAAAAGGCAACAATTTGAACTATGGAATGTTCAAGTGGGGAAAAAACCCCAGGGATTACTATTTAAATTGTTTTGAGGCAATTACTAATTTTCCTCAAAATTTTTGTTCCTCAAAATTTCTTAAGTTTTATTACGAAAATACTTTTGTACTAGTTCAGCATGTCCACAGCCAAAAAAAAAGGGGGGGAATACTGTTTTCTAAACTTACAGTACACTAAACACTTTAGTTCTGTTTAACACGTACACCACTGATTTACACTCTCACTATAGAAAACACACTGCAAGTGCTTAGCTACATGTAAATAGCAAAAAAAAAAAAAAAGTCTAGATTTGCAATCTAGTCCCACAAGGCAGAAAATGCTATTCAAGCCAGAAAGCTGGAAAAACACTTAAACAGCCATTTCTCATCACCTCTGCAGAAAACTCAGTGAAAGCAGCAGTGGAAGTATCTCACAGCAAAATGTGACCCAGGCACCAGCAATGGGTCTGTACTAACATAATACACTGTTCAGCTGCAAACAATTGAGAACATTTTCTGACAGTTCTCCAAAGACTTTTTTTGTATTTTAGACTACTCAGAATACAGTAATATCTAACATGCACGTGAATTTTTAGCTACGAGACTAGCAGGACTGAATCCTGACCTTAAATGCACAGCGTTATGAACTGCAAATCACATGTTAGTCTGCAACTCTCCAAACAGGTACAGTTCAGCTACATTACCAGTACTAGAGACTATATTACCCAATTCAAAATTTGCTAAAAGAGCAAATAGTGAAAGGCCCTGTTTACAACTCACAATCCAAACTATTTTAAGACAAACCAAGAGAAATGGTGAAGAACAGGGCTTGGGTATGAAAGTTCTCGGGATACATAAGGGAGCAAAGTCAAGGACGCACAAAGATTTAAGTTCAACGTTTCCTTATGCACACAGCACTGTTACTCAATGATCCGTATAGAGGCTGCGCACCCTCACTGTGCACAGCCTACCCTCTCTCACACACCGCATACCCCTTTCATTCACTGGTACCTCATTTATTTAATAATGAAGAATGCGATAAAATCATGAAACACAGCCAGACAACAGTATAAAAAGCCTGAGCCTTTCCCCACACTTTCCAACGTTTAGGACTCTCACAATGTGTTGTTTTTACTTTCCAAACACTTCAAAGCAATCTGCTACAGAGTAAAGTCCTGGACTTAACAGGCCCACAACAAGAACTACCCAGATTTAGCTGAGAATTCTACAAAAAGGCCTTCCCTACTGCAAACCAAAAAACCCCTTAATCCTGTAAGTCAATAACCCATAACACAAACCAGCAGTTACTCTACCATCTCAATTTACCTCAGAACTATATGTAGCTCAGTACTAGTTGGCCTAATCTTCCCCTACCGTACTTGTCCGTCTTCTCTCTGGAACATATTATCCTCTCCCTTTTGCACCACCATTGCAGCCACTTACAACCATTGCAGCCACTTACTTACAACCACTGCAGCCACAGCAAAACGTCTGAAACAGCAGCAATTCACAAACATCAGACTACGTTGCTTTAATATTAAACCTCAGTCTTTTAAGCTTTTTGGGTGCTAGCGTTTACTAATGACACGTGGAATCCCATTAACATGCTATGTGCTTTCCAACGTACCAAGTGAAAAGTTCACACAAGAATCAATACACATAGTAATGTGTTATGCCATCTTGCTTTTGTAAAAAGAAGTTAATGGATTTGCTTCGTATGTACCATAGGAAGTATTTTGACTCTTTACCAGTGAGTGAGAGTTCCCCTCAGCACTGCTAGATTCCATATTAAACACCGCATTAACAGCTTGCCTAGTTAATAAGGAGGACTTAACACTGCATCTGAAAGGCTGAAACTGTTATCCTGAGAGAAATCGAACATGAAGACTAGAGAGATTAACAGATTTCCTTTCAAATTGCACTTCAATTTTTATATCCTGTTAGGCTGATGTTATGCATTTGACACACATATTTTGGAGAATTCAAAAGGAAAAAAAAAATACTTCCTGCTCTTTTGAACTTAGTTTTCAACAATGCTTTCCTGAGCATTTTAAACAGAAGGGAAAACCAAAATGCTTCCTTATAAATACAATATAATAACATACACGTTGCCTCTCACTCTGGGCAAAATATCTGATAAAGTACTAACCATGAACATTAAAGAATGTGTTTGTCAGTGCTGGATGCTATGTAGTCAGTGGTGCAGGCTGGAGAACACCACAGTACTGCGACACCTACAGCTTTCAAAGCATGTCTTTATGGCACACTTTATAGTATTTTGTCATAATTACAAATAAAAAAATCCCCAAACCAAACGGTAAAACACAGCTGACAAAATGGTCAAGCACCACTGTAGATCCAACCCTCTTTAGTACAGCTTACAGGAACTGCAACTATTACTTTGCAAAGACTCACAACAAGTTTCTTCCTCCCCCTCCTACCCTGTGCTTCATGCTGCCACCTTCTCATATTTCTTCTTCACACAGCCATGGGCAGCAAGACAGTATGGGCTAAGGCCTCCCAAATTACTGCAACCATGATCAATTTAAGAATGTTTACAGTTCAGTTCCTGGTAAAAGAGAGCATGGCCAAGAGGAATCCAAGAAAGTTCACAGGGCTGGGTAAAGACTGGTTTCACCATCATCAGCAACAAGGAACATTCTTTGAGAAGAGCAGTGTTATTACTCCTTGATCTCATATCTGCAAGCCCAAGTCTGGATATGACATGCATAATCAAACAGTGAAGTCATCGGTCAATAGAAATACTATGTCGCCACTGAATAGAAATATTATCTTCTTTCTTCAAAAAGGCACAGGCAAGTCTTCTGCACCTTCACATATGGAAGGAAAAATCCCCATTGACAAAAACCACATGGTCAGGACAGCAGGCCACTTCTGCATGGGCTGGATGATTGTTGCTGTTGCAGTGAATGAATGAACATCTGAGGTTGTAGTACTTCAAATGGGGGTTCCTGGCAACCTGCTAAACCCCCTCCTACAGCAGGTGACAAGCCCCTATCAAAGGGTTAAGATATTATGGTGATCACGTTCAATGAGAGAAACACGTACCTTTCTAAGACACAGTATGAGCTGAGGTGCACACGCATGGAAACGCAGATGCTAGCAAAGAACGTGCACTACACTTCTAGACGGCAAAGGCATTATTTATGACCATGCTTGATGGAGTTTCACTGTTTGCATGACAGGCAGAGGGGGACACCTAAAAGTTTGAACCTCATGATGAAGAGCCAAAAAAGCACCACTCTCCTGTCAATAGCAGGAGGATAAAGAAGAAAGGGTGATAAGTAGTCTGCCCTTCGTGTCCAAAGAGAGCCTAAAGCAGGAAACAGCCCTTATGAAACCTTGCACTTACATCCCCTTACTTCCCCCTTCCAAAAAAAGAAAAAAAAGATCCTGTACAGACATGTGTCCGCATCTGGACACGCAGATGGACCTCATCTGTAACATGCACTAGACAGATAAGCAGAATGTGCCTACCACATAAAATGCAGTATTCAGAAATGCATACTGCAAAATGCTTTAACATTTCAGTATATGAAGTTGTGCCCCTAGACTTAAGAACTAAACAACTAGCTGGTTTCATACATTTATGTTTCTCAAGTAGCAGTGGGAAAAGTTGTCAGATGACTTCCTGAAAGATGTTAAAAAGCTTTTAACACTCAGACTAAGCAACTGCTATCCAGAGCCACATACGCTATTTCCATTCAGGGGAGCCACGCAGATTCCATACTGTAACAAATTCTATTTGGCCCATATAGAACAAAACCTGTTCACTATTCTTGGCTCCAGAGCAAGAAATAGAACATCCACTTTCAGGATTCACAAATGTATTAACACTAATACTTACAGGCCCGATACCAAAGACTGTCAAACCTCTTTGGCAGCAACTTTAACAAAAGGGAGAACAACATCCAAATTTCCAACCACTGACTCAATACTGATTTTTCTGAAAAAGGAATGTGCTTCAGGCAAAAAGCACAATATTATTCTGAGATTTGTAAGCTGAAGAATAACAAATAGAAAGAGGAACTCTCTTGCTTTTATTTATAAATAAACTCACAAATTAATCTCTGTAAAGAATAAAACTGCACTGGAGAAAAACACAGTAGTAGCAAGTAGAGTTGAACTACAAAAGTAAGATCCCATCTTCTTTTGTTGACTGCCTAGACTCCCAACAGGTCCAATAACCTACTCTAGAAAATCCAGTATTTTCCACAAAAGCAAACCTACCAGGTGCAGACTACAAAACCTTTTAAGCCTACCATTATTAAATTACTAACTACATTTGGCTTTATATAGACACAACATGCATATACCATTTGCATATTTAAGGAAGTTGAACAATTTCTCAAAACAATGTTTGATTAACTTTCCTGCCTTCCTTTCAGCAGACACGAGCTTTTATTTTCAGTGCTTCAGGGCAGAGTGCATTCAAGCAGCAACATGCAGATCTCTAATGTGTAATTTGTTATGTAAACTACACAAGCCTACATTCTATTCAGTCACGTGTGCACCAAATACTGAAGTAATGCGGTTTTCTACTAACATTTGTGTTTACACACAATTTTTAAAGCACTGTCATACAGTGAAGGAGCCGCTGCGCAGTTCTTTAAGGCTGAACTCAACAACTGAAAGCAGCTGTGTCTGAACCACAGATTATCCATAATACTTAAAACCCTTAAAACCTCCCCAGACACACGAATATGAACAGAGATTCCCCCCAAAACAAGAATAAGATGATACTCTACAACAAAGATTTTTTTTTCCACGGCTCATAGCTCCTGCATGACCACATGATAATTTTAATGCATGTAGGCAAAGGGAAAACTTCTGACAGGCACTGGGGAAGAAACATCTTAAATTAGGTCTGCCTCTGAAGGAACAACAGTCTGAGCTACCATAGAGCTAATCTGTCTTCCCTGAGCTTTGTCAACCACCCATGCTACTTGTGTGAAGGAGCAAGAAGAGACTACAGGAACTCTGCTTTCTATCAGCGATGGATGGGACAGAGACTAGTAGCCTCATGCTCAACTCAAGTAAATCATAACTCCCTCCTCCACCCCAACCTGAAAACTCATGTGGAGAAGACTCAGCTTGTGCATTATTTTACACCAGCCTTGAATGTCAGGTGCAAAACTGCTGAGATTCAGCAGCAACTCATTTAATATGCACCAAGCAGAGCCTTGCTTCTTTATGTAAATGCAAATGGTACGACTATGCTTGCTTTCAGATCAGGGGGAATTTTGTATTCAACTGATTCAGACAGTAGAAACAACAATTTGGCACCTCCTGCAACTAAATTAGAAGCTGTTGATTGCCCTGAGGATACAAAGCTCCTATGGTGTTTAATCCTATTTGGGCCCCAAGATTTACTCAGTTTGTATCACATGGAAATGTGAACAGGATGAGGGCTGAACCTATACTTATGGTGAGACCCAGCATTCATAGTACAAGCAAAGGCTGTTGTTACCTGCACTCTTCTGCTCTTCTCTGTTCTAAAAGATGTCCAAGACCCTACCTTAATGCAAGAAAGATCTTTTCTGGTACGTTCCAAGTATCTGCTATAAACTAAATTTTTGGAATTGTAGTAGTAATATAGCTTAAACTTCTGTGGTAACCATATAATCTCTTAATAGTCTGAAATTATGACAGCCATTAAATACAAAAGAATGTGTACAACTTCCCATTCCCATAGGCAGGGTAAGCTTTTGTCCAAACAGGCTGAACTCTGCCCAGAATGGGAAACAACACGATATTTTGATATCCTGCAAATCATCATTAAAAACTAGAGCTAATAATTTTTTAGAAAGGTCTGATGAGGCACACCATTCATTCTGATATTCTCTCTCTGACACCATGTAGTAGATATACTCAGCTTTATCAAAATCAAGAAGTGAGATAAAGACTCAGAGTAAAGTGGTACGTTAATTGATAAGGGGTTAACACATTTTGAAAAGTGTAAATTGTTTCAATAAGCAATTTGAAAGATTTTATTGTATAAACAGTCTTTCCCACTAAGTACAATTTCAAGCTCTGTTTGGCTTTCTTAATTAAGCAAATCCTTACCAAGGTAGCAACAAAACAATGGCTACTTTATTTCATATAAACTAATCTACACGCAACACAGACCAGCCTTTACAGATCGGAATTGCTTTTCATCTGCGGACAGATGAAGTACACATTTTCAAAACTTCCTTGCACCTTTTGCAAGAAACGTCCAGAGCCCTGTGATGGCATGTGGAACAGACCAACAAACACTCCTTTTGAATGCTCCTTTCTCATTGAACCCCAGAATTGCAACTTCAGAAATGGTAAGTAATTATTTTGAAAAGCACCTCTCTCTCATCTAACTGTAGCACATAAGCAAACATTTAGGATGGAAAGGATTGTTCTGATGTTAATTAGCAAGAAGCAATGGAGGACAATTTTTCCATTACAACTACCTTCAATAAAGTCGTAGCTTGTTGATTTGCCATACTTTCATTGCACACTTACACATGTACGCATACACTTGTTCTCTCACACACATGCATAATACATGAGAAGTATTGATTTAAGTGCTTCAATTGAGACTCTTCTACTCTGAGGCTAAACAGCAACTCTAGAATAAGGAACAAGATGTGTATCTTCAAGTATTTTCTGATTAACTTCACCACTGCACTCAGTATATAATTATTGCTTAATTTTGAAACATTTTTCTACTACTGTCCAGCTCCGAGCTTCTCTTAAATTCAGGGGATTTTAACTGGTGAATGTAAGGCTGCTTTTCATCATACACCTGTATGCCTCTTCCAAGCAGAAAAGACAGTAGCAAAAGAAAGTCAGGAGCATTAGTAATAGCACGATGGAAGCAAGACTAACGAGAAGACACAATAAAAACTGTAATGATTTTAACACAAAGGTTTTAGTGAGTTTAAAGTTCTGATAAAGAACAGTAACACCAAACGGCTCAGGATCAGAAAAACCAAACAGCTAACTCACCTTCCAGGAGGAATTCCTCTCTTTGTAAGATCTATTCGTACTTTCTCTCCCACATGTCTGTAAACCTCCACAATGGTTAGTATTGCAGCATCTCTCACCTGTGAATGCAGAGTTTAAATTGTTCATTTCAGGGTTACAGAAACCAAAACAATATCTGCTGATGACCCACAAATCTTCCAGTTTCTATCAACCTGCATGCCAACTAATTTCACAAAACAGTTGAAACAGTGAGGTTGGAAGGGAAAGGAAATACAACTGTTATTTCAAGATGGTATTTGTTCCAAGTTAGAACATCTCCAGATGGTAAATGAAAAATCCTAGAAATAACAGCTCTAGAGGGAATTTCTGGGATTGACATAAGAATAATATTTGTGGAAAAAACGTGCTTTATTTAGGACTCTATCAGAGCAGGCAATACTTCCAAATAGTCCCTGCACTCAAATCTTGACACTTCATCTTGCTTTCATGTGTTTCTACATGCAGCAAGGCCATTCTGGAAATAATAAGGACCTGACTGGCCAAAAGAGTGGGCCAAAATACTCAGCATTTTCTTTCCTTCCTTCAAGAGGAATTATGTGGCATCACAGAAGCACAAGAAAGGGGGAGGGGGAAAGAACAGTTAAAGCAAGGAGACAGAGTGCCTCTTTAAAAAATTTAAACCATAGTCATCACAATAAAAACTGCTAAAAATGCATGTTAGTAAATGCCATTATTCTCTATAAAGAATTACTGGAATTACTTCAGTTTTGTTCTTTGTAACAGTTTGAACTAAACCCACAATTGCTCTATCAAGATACAAACTACATCTTTACTAATGATGAACAAAAACGACAAATGCTTAACAGATTTTCTCTAGAGTAGAACAATGCTACGTTATACAGAGGAGACAAGGACTTTGCTGCACCCAAAAAATAAGCATAAAGACCTATCCTGTTCATTTGCCGTTCTCCTACCAATGCTACCTTCTTCCTTACTGCATTCTTAGTCTTTTCTCTCAGACACAACTTCAAATAAATCAAGAGAGATCTTATCCATTTCCATTTGAAGGTTTTCTGAAGTTCAGATGTCACCATTATGAACTACGTCTTGATTTTCACTGCAGTTGGTTTTGCTTAATTAACTGATTTTAACTACAGTCCTTGCATGTGCTCAAATGCCATTTGGGTTCCATTTAGGGAATTATTACCCGTCCTGCACATGATAATGTTATCCTTAGCAAATCTGGCAGACTATTACAGGGCTCGTGTTGGGGCTCCTTCTGGAGGCAATTCTTCCTGTCAATCTATTTTTTTTTTTTCTTTTCTTTCAACATGCTGTGTTTTCAGCAATGACTAGTTTCAACCTCTGAAGACAAAACTAAAGAGGACAGTGTATGGCAACAGTGCTGCCTTTGCCAACTCTACTTTCATCTTCCAAGCAGTGGGCTGATTCAGAAGAAAATGGGTTTATTGTTTCTCATGGTAGAAAATAACAATCCGTTGTATACAAGCAAGCCTACCGGCTTTTCTTAAATGCCTAGGTTTATTTTGCTTTCATTCCTCTGTCAAGGTATAGTTGTTGAAGCACCAGTAAGTAATGAAATCCTTACCTGACTATTCGAGTCGCCAAATGCTGTACACAGATGCGGTACCAACTTGCTGAGGACTAATGGTTGTGCACCATAACTAAAAAAAAAAAAAAAATAATTTTTTTTTTTTTAAAGAAAAATGGAAAATATTTTACACAGACGTGAACTCTTAGCTTAGCATTGATAAAATACAAACTTACACCAATCAAGCTCCGTCTCTCTCTCACTAATCCTTTACTTATTCTTAAATAAGTTAAAAATACTATACCTTTAGCCTTTCTTTCAGAAAGCTTGCAAGTTAAGTTGTTTAATTTAATTTAATTGAATCCGACTTCCTAAAGTATTAGTTTCAGAGAAAAATGACATTCAGAAGAAGGACAGAACTGTTAATGTCTCCATAGAAACAAAAAGCTTACTTGTTTAAGGTAGCAATAAGACACAAACACACTCCTTCTCGGGATCGGTAATTCTTGTGTTTAAAACCAACAGCAAGGCGTTCCCAAATGTACTATAAAAACAGAAATAATTGTCTTTGATTACCAGAAGGACAATACAATGTAATGCTATCGATAATCCATAACTACAGTCGTAACAGTTGCAAAAAAATTACAGAAGACACTTGAAAAGTAAAGGCACTTCTCAGATAAAATTAAGTTACAAGATGCACGGTATGGAACACAGCACAGATTATTCCTATGCCAAAACCAATTCCTAAAAAACATCCTTCAGAAATCTAGATGAGTATTTTTGTTGTTTGAGAACCAGCTCTTAAAAACATGCAGAACTGTTACAAGTAACACACACAAAACAGACATTAGCGTTACAAACTACTGACTCAAGCAGAAGTTGAGTTGCTATATTCTTTTTGCTTCATATTCTGTTTCCCTGCCAAAATTTCCTCCCATCCATTTTAGCTCATCCTTATCCATACTCCTGCTGTCCACTTCTCCCCTACTTTTGCTTTAAATTTATTTCTTCTTTTTTCAATTATTTCTTGCCCATTCATTCTAATTCCTTTGCTTCCATTTTTATTCTGCTTTCGTTCCTCCTTTTGTGCTGGCGCCGCTTCCTGTAGTACGATTCTCCGGCTCACTAAACACCCTCATTTACCTTCTTGCGCACTCGTTTTTCGTTGCCTGCCTTCAGTCTTTCCCTCCCCGGTTTCTCTTTTTACCTTGCCGTCTCCTCCTCCTCGTTCCCTAGCTGTACGTTACAGTGGAAAAAGTGTAAAAGATGAAGCTTACGAGACTTGGGATTCCCAGCGGTATTTCGGAGCAGATGCAGCGGCTCAAACTGCAACTCTCCCAGCTGCAGCGCTGCCATTACAGCCCCAGCCAGCCAGCATCCGCGGGCAGCGTTGCCTAGTGATGCCTGCACACTGGCAACAGCACATTTTGCAGCCTGGGCACCACCCTCATGCCCACCCCCGAAGTGGTGCAATTGCAGCGTAGGACGATTCCATACAGAACCGCTAAAAATCTATTAGATACAAATTATTGCGGTCGTATTCGGCTTTCTGGGAAAAAGAATCCTCGCAAACAGCTACTGATCAACACAAACAGCGTAAGAGCAGGGAATACTGCATCCTCATTAGTAATGAGGTAGCACGCTTCATAGCAGGCGTAAAATTTTTCAATTTGAGCCTTGCTTGATCATTTTGTCCCATCTGTGGTTTCCTGCTTGTTTGTTTTACACTTCAAACCTTAGACAAGCAGGATATGGCTTGCCAAAACCACACAGCTTAACAACAAAGAACAGGATTTTACAGAAGAAAACATTTTTCCAATTAACCCATTGTCCCAGGCAAACATGGAAAAAAGGAAATCTCCTTGCTAGGTTTAAAAAAATACAGGTAGCAAGGTAACTGTAGAGCACCAAAACAAACAAAGCAGACTGAAGAGGAATTTAAGTCTTTCACTAAATTAACCCTACTTTAAGAACTGAATTCTTCTAAACAGAGAAAATCACATGGCTGCTTAGAAATGTCAGCTCTCATGACTTGCTAGCAACAGTTGGTGTCAACCTCCCTCTGTCCCATTCATGCATTTATGACACCTATATTCTTACTTTATGCTTTCCTGGCCATAGCCAGCTACATCTAGTTCTCTTTCATACAACACAAAGCAAAAAAACCAACCCAACACCACACCAAACACACTTAAAACAAGAAAAGGGAATTGACAACAGACAAATTAAATATGATTCAACAACACACTAGAACAGACAAGATGAACTCATCAAGAAGAAACTTACAAGTCTTATCCCTAAAAAAGGATTCCACCCAGCTCTTCCAGAGGGATGTTTCTCTGCAGCGAAGGGAGTCTAAAACTCTGTATTTCAGTGTTGGAGGCACAGGAAGGGCTTCTCTGTTCTGGTCCCTGCTGTGAGGATGACTGGTGCTTCTCATCCAAATTTTTAACCATATCATAAGCTGTCCTGGGACAGACACCTGAAGCCAGGTTTCTCCCACCCTAGGGGAGTTACCAGAAGAGCCATACCTTCTGTTATTTACACATGTCCCTTGGACCTCACGAACCTTGTATTTTTTCCTACGCTGCGGGTAACCTTCAAAGGGTATGGAAGCTAATTTCCAGCACCTCAGTGTACAACCCAACAACTCTTCAGAAACCAAAAGATGGACACATAATCTAAACCTCTTTCATGATGAGGGCCTAGCATGAAGCAACTATCACCATATTCTTTATCAGCAATCGTGCAAATGAACGTGTCACCAAGGTGCTCTGCTGTGCATTTATCCAAATGCTATTACCGTAGAAGTAGCTGTACTTTCAGGTCTGCATGTCAGGTACTTCAGAGCACCTTGGGCACAGGAACACGTCACTCATGAACTGCTTGGAAGCCACATAGTGCTGAGAACTGTAAAAAGGTTTGCTTAACTCAAACTTCAACCTAAAACGATGAGGCAGAGGGAAACTTATTCCCCTCTCAGTTTGTCAAAGGTTCACACAGCGTGTTTGTTACACATCTAGAAAGCCAGATTATTCTAAGTTAGAATGCACCATCTCAACTGCGTATTCAAGTACAAAGCTAATTTTAAAATACATTCAGAGCTAAACAAACTTATTTATTCTCATGATGCAAACTCAAACCCAGGAGGTTGCTCCTAACACTCTTTAATTAACAAAGTCCCGCCACATGACATGAAAACATGTACTAAGAATTTAGCTATGGTATGCTAAACTGCAGAATTGCACTATGCCCGATTCTTATCTTTAGCTGAACAATGCATCAGTGTCAATCCATTAAGACTATCTTTAACATTTACACCATTAACTTTAGCCACAACATTGTGACATATTCCAAGTCAAGCTCATGCATAAGTCATAAGCTCCCTGGAGACATACATCTGAATCTACATTAAGTAGATCATACCATGGGCGGTGCTGCTTCGTCCATCAATTTCAATATAAGGTTCTGTGCTTGCTCTCGAACTTGGTCTTTGGCATCTCCCATACGATCTATCAAAGGCAGGAGAACTGCAAGAGAAGGAAAAAAAAAAAAAAAAAAAAAAAAAAAGAGATTAACCACCCAATTAAGTTTTTCTAATACTTAAGGATATTTCCCAAAACAGATTTAAGATACATCTCATTCAAAAATAAAATCAGATTTTAAGTTGATGAAAATATTTTAAAGTCTCAAATGTATTTCCACGCACATGACAAGACTAACAACAAACACACAGGACCGAAAATAGTATCTTACAACAGGCTAAAAAGAAAGCTTCCCATCTTAAAAACTGTACAAATTACTTCAATTTAATCTGCAAAAAGTATACTAGTAGCTTCTGCATGCCTGTTCTTTCTGAAAAATAATGCTAGGACTTGGTGTGTGATTAAGAATTAGGATAGGAAAAAGAACTATTTTTGAATCAGTAGGATTTTGCTGTTTAATTACAAAAAATTTAGAATTTTTAAATCCTCCTATTCACACAATGCATCTTCCGGAAACTCAGCCTTACTTCAGTAAAAGTTAGTCTTTTAAAACAAGCATCCTCAAATAATATTTAACTAAAATTGCATAATAGCTGATGATTTCACATCCTAAAAATCAGAACCCACTCAAAATGAAAGGACTTGCCAATTCTTTTCATTTGCTTATCCAGAGGGAAGTTTCCAATTACATCTGATAAACAAATTAATGTTAGGATATTTAGGAAAGTTATCTGAATGAACGCTTAGATCAGCACTGTGCAAGACATCCTGCTATACTGGTTCCCAGTCCTCCATCTGGGGCCTACACACACGCTTTCCGAGATTCTTCCCCGCAGTACTTTCGGTACCAGTTCTTCAAAACAAGAGGGGACACCACCGGGTACAGCTGATGTGGAATTGGTGGAGGTGTCGTCTCTCACGTGACAGTGCTTTTGAAGTTAATGTAAGCATGCAAAACATCACCTAGAAAAAGCAGTGCCACGTCCTAACAGTAACATTTACCTGGTAACAGCTCAACCTTCCGCATTAGTTTTTGGTTTTGATCTGATCCAAAGTTTTCCAAGAGTTGCAAGTAGCAGTCAAGTAGTCTAGGTACTCCAATTACTCCACACAACACCCACCCAGCCCATCCTTCTGCTCTTCCCCTCTCGTTAAGCCAGGGCTAAATTTGCAATTACCATGCCCTTTATTCCAAACTTCTAAAACTAGCATAATGTTTACATTGAGTCTTTTGGAGACTTGCTCGTATTCCAAGAACAACAACAACAACAACACAAAAAGCTAAAATCACCTTTTGCTGCATTTGGGGTTACATCTCTGAACACCTGAGAGTATTTTACAGTTGCTGCCTGACCTCTCTCAGCTCCTGTCTGCTATAAAATTAATTTTCCTATTCTACTCACAGAAGAAATAACTGTATCACCCTATTTTTTGAAAGGGAGATCTGAAAGAATTTTAATGGTACTTAATGATTTTATAGCAATAATTGAACAATAGCATTGCCAGCAAAAGAAAGGGAACATAATCAGTAACTCGGGAGGTCTCCTCAGTCCTCTGTTCCTACATGAAACACAGCAGCCATTTCTGTACCATGATTATTACTGGACAAATACACTGCTGAAGTTTGAATTTCCCCTCCTGCTGTGTCTGAACACCTTCTAATTGTCCTAACCTGAATATTTAATTCAACCAGCTCTAGAAATTCCACTGACATCTTTAGCTACCATTATCAAGTTTTCGCATTTTTCATCTATCTTCTCTTCCCCTTCTCCTCTGAATAAATTATTACAGCTACCTTCATTTTACAGTTTGAAGAGAAGGTTTGGGGGGGGGTGGTGGTGGTGTGTGTTTCAGTTTGGGTTTTCTGTTGGTGTTTTGTTGGTGTGAGGTGGTTTTCTCTGTTTTGTTTCGGGTTGGGTTTTTGTTTCGTTCTGTTTAGTTTTTTTCCCCATTCTGTGAAAACAGAAGAAACATCCAGAACTGGAGAAGTTAATTTGGGGAGTACACAGTTGACATCTCCCATACATTTCCCATCACTCATACACTTACTTATTACATTTTTTCTTCCCAGCAGTACTTTTCGTTACTATTTTCAGCACTTCTAAACCGTCCTTTTACCCGTACCGTACGTTACCGGTGAGGTCTGCTACATTAACCTGACTGCTGGGGCAGCCGAAGGCAGCTCTGGCTTTACAGAGAGGGGAACAAACACAGCCACTGAGAAGCTGTCCCAGGGGAGGGGAACGCAGGGGGTGCCGGTCCCGCGGGAACACGGCTCCTTTGTGCCCGGTTAGCACGCCGAGTCCATTGACGGAGCTGCAGATACCAGGGCTCCGCTTCACATCACTGAGGCAAGCACAGAGAACAGCTACTAGAAGCCACTGAACAGAGGTGAAGTCATCGAGTTAAAACTGAGCTATGACACAGCCTGCGGATTTCAGCGCGCGTCGCTACTGAACATGCCAGCCTCTGTCACTCGTGGAGCTCTGCCAGAGGGACAACCTGCTGCGGGAGCTGCTGTTCAAGGGCCCAAATGTCTGCAGGCTTGACTTCCTCCCCCCT